GTCTACGAGCTTAGTGACTAAGGCAGACACAATAGTGGAGTCAAAGGAAGGGTCAGTGACAAAAGTGGCCAAGAGACGAGTAACAGTAGGACTAGCAGCACGAGTAAGGTTTATCAGACTCAGGGTCAGGAACGTCAGGAAGAGAGGACGTCGGGGGAGACGGCAGAGCAACACGCTGTGGAACAGAGGAAGGACGAAGTGCCATGGTGTGCGTGCCGAGAACAGGTGGAGGACGAGGACGACGAGTACGTCTGACAGTGCGAACAGGGGAGGCAGGACGAGACTCAGGCTCACGATGCTTTGTCAAGGAGCCTGTCTGTCCAAGGTAAGGAGAAGGAGCTGGCAATGGAGAGTTAGGCAGTAATCGCGGCTGTGACTGGTCAGGCGGAGGACATAGGAGAGGTGGAGTAAGGCCAGTGGAAGACGGGAGACTAAGAACCTGACAGAGTGCCGAGTCAGGCGTTGGCAGGTATGTCTATGGCTCTGGGTAGAAAAACGGTCGTCGCGGCGCAGTACCCACAGTGCCAGAGCCTCCAGCTCTAGCACCTCTAGCACCATTAGCTCCAGTACCTCAAGCACCAGCAGCTCCAGTACCTCGAACACCTCCAGCACCTCCAGCAGCTCCAGTACCTCGAGCACCTCCAGCTCCAGCAGCTCCAGTACCTCCAGCACCTCCAGCTCCAGCACCTCCAGCACCAGCAGCTCTAGCACCTCCAGCACCAGCAGCTTTAGCACCTTCAACACCAGCAGCTCCAGTACCTCCAGCACCTCTAGCTCCTCCAACTCCAGTACCTCCAGCTCCAGCACCTCCAGCACCAGCAGCTCCAGTACCTCCAGCACCTCCAGCTCCAGCACCTCCAGCACCAGCAGCTCCAGCACCAGTACTCCAAGCGCCGGCACGAGAGCGACCTTGCCGAACAACCTATTCACAAAGTTGCTGCGGCGAGAGGGTCTCTTGTTGACGAGACTGCTGCTGTTGTCCAACGCTAGAACCTCCAGCAGGAGCACCCACACCCCACCACCACTAGGACTCGCAGCACCCCCAGACTCAGCACCCCTAGACTCAGCACCCCTAGTGTCAGCACCCCCAGGAACAGCACCTCCAGAGTCCGCACCCCCAGTGTCACCAGCCCCAGCAGCACCACAGTCCACAGCGACAGGCTGCAGAGGCGGCGAAGACGGCCGAGGTGGAAAACCAGGAGGGGTCTCCAAGCGCTGGGAGCGGCAAGTGACCCCCCTCAGCTGGGCCAGAGGTGTCAGAGGTGACCTCCAAAGGCTCAACCAAGGGGGGTGGGTCGACCTGATACACACCTGAGGGAGCAGGAACCTGTGGGGGTAGGGGGTCTACCGAGGGGGAACTTGGACCAGGAAGAGGGGTGGCGGGGGGACTAGAGAGGACGCATGCGGGCGGAGACGGTAGAAGCAAGGGGACCGACTCGTCAAAGGTGACGTCCTGAAAGGACAGGACGCGACGCGAGGCAGGGTAATAAAACTGCTACTGCAAGGCGTCAGTGGGGAAGCCAAGGAAGACGCAGTGGAGAGTGCGAGGATAGAGCTTGTCCGCGCTGGTATCGCGGACAAGGAAGAGGGCGCCCCAAACCCGAGACGCTGACGCATCGCCAACTTCCCCCATCCAACGCAGTATAGGCAAGGTCTTTGACACGGAGACATGGGGCCAGAGGTTGAGGTGATACGCGGCGTACCGAACCGCAAACGGCCACAGAAAATGGGGAGCAGCCGCATGGATCATGGAGGTGCGAGCAACCTCCATGATCAAGCCAATGCGACGCTCAGCAATCTCATTTTGTTGTGGAGAGGCCGGAAGCGTGAACGACTGGATGATGCCCTCCGCACGACAAAAGTCCTCAAGGAGGCGGGGGGAAAACTCACCGCCTCTGTCAGAGTGCAGTCGCAAGACCTGGAGGTCTGCTGAAACCGCGCTCTTAGCTGGCAACGAACAGCGGTGATCTAGGAGATCAAAACACCTCGGACATCCGCCTTGCTGCGCAAGGGAAAGACCGTGGTGTAGCGCGTGTACTCGTCTACAACCAGCAGAAAGTAGCGCTCCTGGTGGCCCTGTCCACGGACGCGGGCGGGGCCCCACACGTCCATGTGGAGAGTCTGCAGAGGAGCAGTGGTCGGAGGAAACGAGGAGGAGTGAGGAGCGGCGCGCTACCGCCCCTCGACGCAGGGAAGGCACGGCGGTGCAAGTGAGTGCGGGAGCGGGGGCAGGGACCTGGGGAGGCCAGAGACAAGGAGATGAGAGTGCATGCCACGCAGGCGCGGCAGGGAGGGGTGACCACGACGGTGGTGCCAGAGGAGAGACGGGTGCGTAAGTAACCGACACGAGCAAGGTGCAGCGACCTGACCAGACACAGCTACATGTGCGGACTCAGTGGTCGGTGTGAGACCCGGGTCTCCGAGTGAACGTGGCGAGGTGGGCGCCAGTCCGTGAGTCCGTACAGATTGCCACAAGCTCACCCTCAGGAGAAGTCACAGTGACAAACTGGTCATGGAGGACAGTGTTACTCACCAAGTTCGTAGTTAACGAGGGGAGGTGGAGGCCTGCAAGCGAGCCGGAAGGGGCTGCCGGACACGGGAGACCGGTGGAGGCACGTGCTACAACTGGGCTCCCTAAGGGGTCAGCCAGAGAGACCCGGACAGGTGCAGTGAGCGGTGTGACTTTGGTGCAGTCGCGAAAGAAGCAGCGGGTCGCGCCCGAGTCAAGCGTGAAGGTGTGCAAAGCCTCTACAGGAGCTGCACGTGTGCTAGCAGGCTCACATGCACCTAGACTAGTAGCCTCTATACTACCAGGGACGCATCGCTGATAAAACCACTCCCGAAGCTGCTGCGGCGAGGGGGTCTCCGGCTGACTCTGCTGCTGCTGCTGACCACCTCTAGAACCACCGCCTCCACTAGTGGCACCAGCTGCTGGAGCAGACGTACAGGTACCTGCACTCTCCTCCTCGAACAGCGGTTGCACCTTCCCTAACAACGGACGCCACTGCTGTAGTGGCCGGGTGGCAGGAGATAGGGAGGAGTAGTGTCTAACAACAGCGTCGAACAAAGTCTGGGCCGACGTCACCAGTCGAAAGTGGTCCCTCTGATCGACCGGCAGGAGAGCTCGGATGGCACGCTGTGCGACAGCGTCGCGCTCCGTCCACTGTCTGTAGGCAAGGCTGTCCGCCCGGTACCGCCTCTGCACGTCCCCGCCATCGTCAGCAGCAGGCTCAGTGGGAGTCGGGGGGGGGGGGGGGCGGAAGTGACCCCGACGTGTCCTCGAGTAGTGAGACACCATCTCTTATGTAACGCCGGAGATATAAGCGCAGGCACATAAGCCAAAACCCTAACCTGTACGGGCGTCCGTCGGCGTCAACCGCTAAGACCGGCGGCGTTGCCATGACGGGCAGTGTAGTTGCTAGGGTAGTGCGTGGGCAACTAGAGCAGCGCGCTGGCAACTAAGGCAGCGCACGAGCAGCAGGGCAGGGCAGCGTGCAGGCTGCAGGGCAGGGCGGCGCGCGGGCTGCAGTGCAGAGCGGCGCGCGGGCTGCAGGGCAGGGGGGCGCGCGGGCTGCAAGGCAGGGCGGTGCGCGGGCTGCAAGGCAGGGCGGTGCGCGGGCTGCAAGGGAGGGCTGCGCGCTGGCTGCAGGGCAGGCGGCGCGCGGGCTGTAGAGCAGGGCGGCGCGCGGGCTGCAAGGCAGGGCGGCGCGCTGGCTGCAGGGCAGGGCGGCGCGCGGGCTGCAAGGCAGGGCGGCACGCGGGCTGCAAGGGAGGGCTGCGCGCGGGCTGCAGGGCAGGCGGCGCACTGGCTGCAGAGCAGGGCGGCGCGCGGGCTGGAAGGCAGGGCGGCGCGCGGGCTGCAGTGCAGAGCGGCGCGCGGGCTGCAGGGCAGGGGGGCGCGCGGGCTGCAAGGCAGGGCGGTGCGCGGGCTGCAAGGCAGGGCGGTGCGCGGGCTGCAAGGGAGGGCTGCGCGCTGGCTGCAGGGCAGGCGGCGCGCGGGCTGTAGAGCAGGGCGGCGCGCGGGCTGCAAGGCAGGGCGGCGCGCTGGCTGCAGGGCAGGGCGGCGCGCGGGCTGCAAGGCAGGGCGGCACGCGGGCTGCAAGGGAGGGCTGCGCGCGGGCTGCAGGGCAGGCGGCGCACGGGCTGCAGAGCAGGGCGGCGCGCGGGCTGGAAGGCAGGGTGACGCGCGGGCTGCAGGGCAGGGCAGCGTGCGGGCAGGGGGCACGGAGAGCTCAGGCAGCGCGCGTGCAGAGCAGGATGCTAGCAGGGCAGCGTGCGGGTCGCGCGCTGGGCAGCAAGCGAGCAGCGCGCAGGGCAGGCGTGGGGTAGCGCAGGCAGGGCAGCGTGAGGGACTAACGGAACGAACGGGCAGGGCAGTTCGGGCTGTTCGAAACTAACGGTGGGCCCTAACGGAGCGGTCCTACGGAGGGACCTGCTCTGAATACCATGTCAGAACTAACGGTCAAGAATGGAATGACTAAGATGAGAGATGAGTACAAGTACTAGGTCTAACCCTTAAGTGTTGTACTCAGTAGAGGCTACCCCACTACAGCCTGCAGATATACAAACACAGTTTGACAATTTTATTCCCAGGAGTGACGTTTTTCACCTTCTGTAGGAAGGTGATCATTTCAATACAGACAGCACGCAGCTGATTAGAATGATTGCAAGCACTGGCGTGTTCATGGTGCTTTGATGTCAGGTAGTGCCCTGATTGTTGCCTTACCGTACAACTGTTGTGACACTTGCTGCTACCATACGGTAATTTATTTGGTTGGACACAACCAGTCCAGCCGTCAAAATCATTTGATTGAAGCATTGTTGTGACACTTTGTTGTTACTATCATACGGTAATTTATTCGGTTGAACACAACCACCTGCAATTGTTGTGAAGCATGGAGGTCATGCTATGCTATCCAAGCGCATGGCCCCAAAGCAGATGGCAAGCGTGCAAGGACCATGTACCCATCTCGTTCGCACTCAGCAACCCGGCAGTGCAGCTAGAGTGCCTGCCCCCAGCTCTGCCGGATGCCCCGATACACAAGCCCCAATGATCGACCAATGAGAGCAACAAGGAGGAAGGAGATGGCCCTGCCTGCTGCTGTGAAGGCCGCCTTGATGAGCGGAATGAGCAGATCTGATAGCTCCAATGCCACCACCACCAGCAGCTTCCTGTGGAGGATAAGGGAGGTGGGAGGGAAGGTGGAAGAAGTGATGAAGGCATGGCAGGAGCAGCCTTGGCAGACTGCCTTACATGCCTCCCCACGCAGCCATCTCAATGGAAACATGCCTGTCCACCACCCCATGCCTTCCCACCACCCCTTGCCTGCCCACCACCACCCCTTGCCTGCCCACCACCACCCCTTGCCTGCCCACCACCACCTCTTGCCTGCCCACCACCACCCCTTGCCTGCCCACCACCACCCCTTGCCTGCCCACCACCACCCCTTGCCTGCCCACCACCACCCCTTGCCTGCCCACCACCACCCCTTGCCTGCCCACCACCACCCCTTGCCTGCCCACCAACCCCACCCCACCGCATCCTCATCTCACCATCCTCTCAGCTGTTGCAGCTCCCCTCGTCTGCTGCCCACCACGCTGCGCCGCACCAGACCCACCGGCCCACCCACCCTCCCCTGCTGCCTCTGCTCCCCCGCCCTCCTCTTCCCCCGCCACCACTGCCACGTGCCACTCGCTGCCCCCATGGTCCCCTCCGCACCCACCCCATCCCCCGCCACGTGCACTGCAGCACCCATGCCAGAATCACCGGTGTTCACACCACAGGCACTGCTCGCTCTGCCCCTTCTCAGCATCCCCTGCAGCCAGAGCAGAGGGCTCCTTGCTGTGGTGGCACTGTGGGCGCTGGTGAAGTCGTTGGGGAACGACACGGGGGGCAGCTGAGATGCATGCTGCTGCTGTGACAGGGCTGGGCGGGCGGCAAGAGGCATGGGGAGCGGGGAGGAGCAGCGCAGCCCCCAGAGGAGGAAGCGGTCCTCAAAGATGGCCACCACCGATGTCACGTTGCGGCGCAGCCACTTGCGCAGTGCCACCTGGCGGGCAGATGGCGGGGCAGGGAGAAAAGTTTAGGGGAAAGGCAAGCAAGCGGGCGGACCATGGGGATTTGAATGAAGAATTGCGATGCAGCCACTAGTGCAGCCACTAGTGCAGTGCCATGCTTCTAGCAGCAAAACCCTCGGGAGAAAACAGCCAGCCACATGGAGCACTCATGAGAAAGTGCGAGGGGGCAGAAAATAGAGCAGGCGTGCAGGGGGTGAGAGGGGAAGGATAAAGGGACGGGAATAGAGGGGTTCGAGGGAGGGAGTGTGGGGGAGTCGAATGGTGTCGCGAGAAAGAGCCCACACCAGCAACCCACCTCATTCCTGAACTGGTCGAATCGTCGAGACGATCGATACTCCTCTCGGAACACGGAGAGCACATCACCCATGCTCACACCTTCCCTGCTGCTGCTGCTGCTGCTGCTGCTGCTGCTGCTGCTGCTGCTGCCTCCCCTGGCCTGTTCAACAACACTCAACCCCTCCCCGTCCACCTCCCACTCTCCAATCCCCCTTTGCGACTCTCTCAACTTCACCATCCCTGTCCCCTTGTTGCCACCACCGCTGTAGGGAGTCACCCTGTTGCCACCACTGTAGCTCCCCTCAAGCGAGTCAACGAAGTCAAGCGCATCAAGGGCAGGCAGGGAGAGCCCCATCCATGCGCGGCTCTCCTGTGTGCCGGCCGCCTCTATGACAGTTAGTAGTGCGGCCTCTGCCATCTCCACCACCAGGTCGTCCAACACCACCCGCGCTATGCGGCTGGGGGGCAAGCAGGGGGGAAGGAGGCGGAGAGGGGCATGACAGCTGTGAGAGGGAAGTAGGGGACAGAGCCGCATGTGCCGCCTCTGCCATCTCCTCCACCACATCCTCCTCCACCACCTGGGCTATGCGGCTGAGGGAAGTGGAGAGATGTGGGATAGAGGGGGAGGGAGAGGGGCATGACAGGGTACAGGGGGAAGTAGGGGACAAAACAACTTGTGCCGCCACTGCCATCTCCGCCGGCAGATTGTCCACCACCACATGGGCTATGCGATTGGACGCAGAGGGGAAACGAGGGGCTGCGAGGAGGGGGAGGCGGTGAGGATGATACGCGAGAAATGGGTGTGATCACGTGGAGGTCAGAAGCAATGGATCTATGACAGCAAGCACCAAGCAATGGAACTATGACAGCAAGCACCAAGCAATGGAACTATGACAGCAAGCACCAAGCAATGGAACTATGACAGCAAGCACCAAGCAATGGAACTATGACAGCAAGCACCAAGCAATGGAACTATGACAGCAAGCACCAAGCAATGGAACTATGACAGCAAGCACCAAGCAGTGGAACTATGACAGCAAGCACCAAGCAGTGGAACTATGACAGCAAGCACCAAGCAATGGAACTATGACAGCAAGCACCAAGCAATGGAACTATGACAGCAAGCACCAAGCAATGGAACTATGACAGCAAGCACCAAGCAATGGAACTATGACAGCAAGCACCAAGCAATGGAACTATGACAGCAAGCACCAAGCAATGGAACTATGACAGCAAGCACCAAGCAATGGAACTATGACAGCAAGCACCAAGCAATGGAACTATGACAGCAAGCACCAAGCAATGGAACTATGACAGCAAGCACCAAGCAATGGAACTATGACAGCAAGCACCAAGCAATGGAACTATGACAGCAAGCACCAAGCAGTGGAACTATGACAGCAAGCACCAAGCAGTGGAACTATGACAGCAAGCACCAAGCAATGGAACTATGACAGCAAGCACCAAGCAATGGAACTATGACAGCAAGCACCAAGCAATGGAACTATGACAGCAAGCACCAAGCAATGGAACTATGACAGCAAGCACCAAGCAATGGAACTATGACAGCAAGCACCAAGCAATGGAACTATGACAGCAAGCACCAAGCAATGGAACTATGACAGCAAGCACCAAGCAATGGAACTATGACAGCAAGCACCAAGCAATGGAACTATGACAGCAAGCACCAAGCAATGGAACTATGACAGCAAGCACCAAGCAATGGAACTATGACAGCAAGCACCAAGCAATGGAACTATGACAGCAAGCACCAAGCAATGGAACTATGACAGCAAGCACCAAGCAATGGAACTATGACAGCAAGCACCAAGCAATGGAACTATGACAGCAAGCACCAAGCAATGGAACTATGACAGCAAGCACCAAGCAATGGAACTATGACAGCAAGCACCAAGCAATGGAACTATGACAGCAAGCACCAAGCAATGGAACTATGACAGCAAGCACCAAGCAATGGAACTATGACAGCAAGCACCAAGCAATGGAACTATGACAGCAAGCACCAAGCAATGGAACTATGACAGCAAGCACCAAGCAATGGAACTATGACAGCAAGCACCAAGCAATGGAACTATGACAGCAAGCACCAAGCAATGGAACTATGAAAGCAAGCACCAAGCAATGGAACTATGACAGCAAGCACCAAGCAATGGAACTATGACAGCAAGCACCAAGCAATGGAACTATGACAGCAAGCACCAAGCAATGGAACTATGACAGCAAGCACCAAGCAATGGAACTATGACAGCAAGCACCAAGCAATGGAACTATGACAGCAAGCACCAAGCAATGGAACTATGACAGCAAGCACCAAGCAATGGAACTATGACAGCAAGCACCAAGCAATGGAACTATGACAGCAAGCACCAAGCAATGGAACTATGACAGCAAGCACCAAGCAATGGAACTATGACAGCAAGCACCAAGCAACACAGCTGCGGGGGGGGAGGGGGAGGGAGGAGTGGGGAACAGTGCGGCATGTGTGGCATCCTCAACACAGGAGGTGGTGACAGGGTCGCGTGTGGCGCCTGCACTCCACTACCACCACCACCAGATATCCCACAGCGAACAGCAATTACACTCGGTGTGAGCAGGGAGGGGGGAGGGACCAAAACATCCTGCTTGGCACGACATGTGAGCGCTGCTAGTTGAGCCCACGGGGCTGTGGAGCAACAACTGAGTAAGAAGGTGCAATTGCCGAAAAAGTCAGCGGCGCTACAGAAGCTTCAAGATGGCACTCCATTACCAGAAGTCTCACCTGTCATTCTCGCCGTCGTGCCGGGTAAATCGGAGGTGGGCCAGCAGCTGGCAGTAGAGCGCCCACCTGCCATCCTCCACTGCCCCCCTCACCGCCTCCCCTCGAACCCACGACTCCCTCCCCGCCCACTCCCCCACTGCAACCCCTTCTGCCTCGCTACCCCCTCCTCTCAACCCCTCCCGCTCCCCACCACTCTCCCACCCAGCCGCATCACCAACGGCAGCAGCCCCACCACTCTCCCCTTCTGCCACCTCGCCCCCTCGCTCTCCTCTTCCCCGGCCGCTGCCGCCCATCAGTTGCTGCTGCCACTTGCTGGCTGACGACAGCACTGCCCGGCCAATCACGTCCGTGCAATACGTGGACCAGTCCTGTTGAGATAGCTGGCGCGCCTTGCTGTCGATCGCACTGGCCTGGGAGAGGGAGTGAGGGGTGGAGGAAGCGCGGTCAAGGGGATGATGGATGAACGGGGGAATGGCAGCAGTAAGGAAACGGGGTACGGGCAGAGCTCAGCGATCCCAGTGCTTCAAGAAAGGCATGCGAGGAGGTGATTGTGCGCGAATCCGTGCATGGCATGGATGGCAGGCTGCCCATGGATGGCATGCTGCCCATGGATGGCATGCTGCCCATGGATGGCATGCTGCCCATGGATGGCATGCTGCCCATGGATGGACGAAAAACCTACCTGCTCAACCAGGGCCCACCTGCTCAACCAGGGCGTGAGTGCATTCGTCCACCAGCCGCCATCTCGCCTCCGCCGTCAGCCCCTGCAGCAGCAGCACTGCCGCCGACGGCACCAGCATCTCCTCGCTGCTGGCCCCTCCCGTGCCTCCCCTGGTGCTCCCCCCCGTGCCTCCCCCAGTGTCTCCCCCTGTGCTACCCCGCCCACTGCTGCGCCAGTCTCTGCTCGCTTTGCCCTGCCGCCGTCTCCTCTCCTCCGGGCTGCCAATCCCATCACTCGCATCGCCCATGCCGCGCCTATCCCCACCTGCTCGCCCCGGCACCGCCCACACAAGCACCTCTTCCGCCGTCGCCTGCTCCCCGGCCCCTCCATCCCCTCTCCGCGCATTATCTCCCTCCCCGTCCCCGCGTTTCCCTCCGCCTCGCCCCCACAACAGAGCCTCTTCCCCCACCTGCTCCACTAGCTCTTCCGCCGCCCACCTCGCCCCGTTCCCCCACCACCCCCGTGCGCTCACCCTCACTGCCGCCCCTCCCCGCCTCAATGAGGGTCCGCGCAGTCCGCGCAGTCCCCCCAAACTCGCGCTTCTCCGCCCCAACCCCCCTTCCCCTCGCTCGAGCGGCATCATTCCGCTGTATTGAAACCGTCGAGACGTTTCTATCGAGGCTGCTTGTAACGAGCACTCACGCCTCGCGCCCTCTAAAAACGCTCGTCGCCCAACCATCGCTACATTTGGGTGATGGAATGCGAGAGCATGAGACGAGGAGACGACGGGGAGGGGCGCGGGGGATGTGCCAGCCATCGTTCTGGTTCGAAACAAGGACCTGAGGCGTGACGGATTGAATGGTGACTGGAGAGAGCACTTCCTTGCTCGGCCTACCCTGCATGACGTGTATCTTGGCTCTCGGAAGTGGAGGGTCGCCGGACTTCGCTAGAAGCTTCCTCGCTTCGGAAGTGGAGGTGTTTTGTATGCACCTCGGTTGATTTAAAACGCCACATTGAATGTTCAACCTTCTACAGCGTTTCGCAAACTAGGCAAAACGCAAAACACCTCGAAGATCCCACTCGGTTACACTACCCAGTTTTCTGTAACGATCCCTCATGGGATCTTGCCAGGATCACCTCAGGTTGTTCGCAAAGAGAGAATGCAGCGGAAGTTGTTGACCTCAGATCAGAGTGGATATTGTTGGATATTGTTGAAGGGAATCACACTTAGCATTCCCGAAGGTGCAGCAATACCGCGCCTGTCATTATCGAAGCAGCGCTGGCAGTAATGTCGGATCAGCCCGTATCAAGGGCATGAAGGTCAACAGTTGCAAGACTCAACAGTCGCAAGAGTCAACTGTCGCAACTGTTGACCATCTGGACCGACGGTTGACTCACCATCGAGGAATGGCAACAGGCGTAACCGTACGCACGGTTACACGCAGCAACTCAGCAACAAGAAAGAAGAGCAATAGTCAGAGTCGCTGTAGAATTGCCTGTAAAACAGTTAAAATAAGGGAATGTACCCCTTAGACTACATGGCTAGATATGACTATTTATTTGCTTGTATTCTATCATTTAATCAACTTTGTCATTTTCATTCAATACGATCAGAGTTCTTACAAAGACTTCCGCTACCAACCTCTTCTAAGGCACTTCCTATCCTATCCAAGATCCTCACTCTAACATGGTATCAAAGCCAGTTTGGATTATAGGATCTGCCAAAAAGTCTCTCGACAAGACAACTTTTAATACAACTTACGTAATACATCAAGAGCTATCAACATGCCAGGCGCAGACTGCGGAGAGGCTGGAGAAAATCCAGTACCATCTCCCACCAATGTCGCCTCTGGAACGGCAACGGTGGATACAACTCTACTCGAGCAATTAATGTCCCGCATCAGCGCTCTGGAAACCCATCAGCCAATGAGCATCGACGGCTCAAGCTACGCCTGAAGACCTCACGATCCTCAAGGAGCTCACTCCGAGCGATCCTTCACCTTCAACAATCGCGGAGCTCAAGGTCCTGCACAAGGACAACAACAACATTACGAGACAATGGCGTCAATGCAGAGCAAGTTTCTCTCAACATCGAAACTCAGAACCATCCTACCTTTTGACGGGAAGGATTTCTACACCTGGAGTTTTGAATTCGAACTCCTTGCTCAAGGTGCTCAGATTTGGATGTACTACGACGGGTCTTACCCATTCCCAGTCAACGGCTCACCTCAGGAGAAAACTCAATACTACAACGAGTCACTGTTGGCCTTCACCGTCCTGATCCGGAACCCGACGCCCGAAGAACAGCTGAGCATCTGCCCGTTCAAGAACGAGTGGGCACCAGCACATCAAGCCTGGGAGCACCTGCGCACCTGCCACATGGCAACAGACTTGGTGACACTTAGTCGCCTCCTCAACCAGCTCAACAACGTCAAGATGTTACCCGGCAGGAAGGACGGACCATACATCAACCGCTGCAGAAATCTGAGGGACAAATTCAAGAAAAGCGGTAGAAACTTCCCTGACGATATGTTCGTCACCATCATCCTCGCTGGTTTGAATCCAGAATTGGGCCACTGCAAATCGCTTCTCCGCATGCAAGGAACCCTCAGCGAAACTTCCCTCTGCTCGTCTCTTCTCGCGGAACGACAGGAGATCGACCTGTACAACGAGAGAGGCAACAAGAAGGAGAAGATAGCATTTTACGTGCAAGCGACACCAGACAAGAAGCGACTCTTCTGCAAATACTACAAGAAGACAGGACACACGATTCAAGAATGCTGGAAGCTGAACGGCAACAACAACAAGTGGAAGAGTGCTGCAACTCACCAGCAAGGAGAAGCTCCAGCACGCAACCAGACAATGTCACCGCCAGTCGTCGCAAGCACGTCTCAAGCTCCGGCACGCATCTCTACGAACACCAACGAGAAGGGCAAAAGCAAGGTGTTAACTTGCATGGTGCGTCACGGACCGCCTCGCCCCAATCGACACTACCGCTTCTTCCGCAGCTGGGAGGACATGTTCGCGGATCCACCGCAGGAGCGACCCGAAAGATCAGTTGAAGATGAGTAAGAAAACGATTCAACATACGATGAGCTGACAGTTGGACGGATGGAGAACGATTAGGAAATGCCGCAGTGGATCCAAGAGTCACCACCTGCACGCATAGCATACGACGACGAAGGGTTTTATTACGATTACGAGAACGAGCACGGCATGGAGCATCATATCACTCCGAAACTAGCAAACCTTGCCAAGGCGAAGAAAGAAGTCAACACGTGGTTCCTGGACAGCTGCTGTGGCCAACAGATGGTGTCGTCGGACATCTTCATCCTCAACAGTGAACAACTCTTCAACGAAGTGGAGATCACCGTGGCCAACAGTCAAACTATCTACGCCAGAAGCCGCGGACAGGTCCAATTGGAGTCACACAACACCGGCTACTGCATCCACATCAGGGACGTCCTCATCGTGCCCGAGCTCCGGTACAATCTCTTGTCCCTCCACCAGCTCATGAAGTGCGGAGTCGGCCTGCAAACAACCGAAGACGAGATGCACTTAATATACAATGGAATTTTCATCGGGAAAGCGACGAGTGTGGAAGGAGTATTCGTGCTCGACTTCGAGTCACCCAGAACCTCTGGCGACAACGAGCACATCCTCGTCCTTGATCCGCCAGGCCACCCGTCACCACCAAGGTGGAGCCACCCAGAAGAAACCGACTATCAGCGACCAAGTCTCGACGGCACCTTCCGCGCTCTTGCCATGCCCGTCGCCTCAACCCCGAATACTGCAGACACGAGACCACAAGCGGTGGAAGAAGGCAAAGAAGCCACGTCAGAAACGGCAGTAGTAGCAACCGAAACAACAAACACAGAAACTACACAGCCACCCTGGCCCACCGTTCCACAACCCACCGGATGGAACACCACCGAGGGCTGGGACGCCGTGGACGTACGTTGGGTCACAGAAAACACCGCCCTGGGAGAAGCCGTTGCAATTGAAACTGGATGGGCAAGCGTCGCCGGAGAATCTGCAGCAGAAGAAGCAAGCACAGGAGAAGTACCAAAAGTCACTGAGGAAGCACCAGAAGCAGAGGAAGAAAAGTCATTGACTGAGTACGGCCCTCACCTCATTCCCATTACAATGGATGGCAGTGACTATCTCTGCATTGAGATAAGGGGAGCAGAGATCGGCGACACCGACCTCAACGAAGTCACGCAACCAAAAGATCATCACCCGCGAATCACGTCACCGCCTCCCCGACGGCCACCAGAGCTTCCAGTGACAATCGACACTGTTACCATCGGCGATACCAGCGGGGCGTACAACGGCGCAACACTTCGAGCAGCGGCAGTTCAAGTCGCCGTACCTAACGAGCCTGCGGAACAAGTTGGTGTCAGAATGAACAGGCAGGAATGAGGAACTAGAAAGGATGGTGAGTACAAATGTGAAACCCTAATGTTGGGACCCCCCCAATAGGCTAACCCACTACAGCCTACACAAACACAACATATATAATGTTTGACACACCCCCATAGGCAAAGTGGGGGAGACCTAGGGGTCACAAGACCAGTCAAGGCAAAACAAGGCAACAACAAGCTCAGGGTGGATCTCAAGGATACCACACAAATTCCGAGCACAAGCTAGTGGTCACAAGACCAGTTCACATGCAAGTTTATAATAGAGCAAGAGATACAGTGATCACAACCTAGCAAGAGTAAACATGCAGGTATAGATATATATAGTGATCACAGTACAAGCAAAGTCAAGAGGTAAGCAAGTGAGGTCCAGTAGGCACAAGGCCTAGTAGAGTGCAGAAGCGCTGATGGTCACGAGGCTGAAGCGCCTTGGTGAACACATCAGCAGTGTTGGCCTCAGTGGCCACGTAGCGAATACAAAGCTGACCGCGCTGCTGCAGCTCTCGAGCAAGGAAGTACCGCAGGGCGATGTGCTTCGTTCTGTGCTCCAGTCTGTGCTCCTCACACAAGGCAATGGCAGCCTTGTTGTCGACGTACAGTACTGGAGGAGAACGAGGCCGCTCTCCGAGGTCGGTCAGCAGGTAGGTCAGCCAGCGTAGCTCCTGGGCAGCCATGGCTGTAGCGTAGATCTCAGCCTCGCAACTGGAGCCGAGAACAGAAGAAGAGCGTGTAGAGCGCCAAGAAACTGAGCCAGAGCCAAGGCTGAAGGTGTAACCCTGAGACGACCGCTGAGTGGCCTGGTCGTCTGCCCAAGAAGCGTCTGAGTGCCCTGTGAGAACAACTCGGTCTCGCCCTCCAAGCACAAGCCCCATGCCCGACGTACTGCACAAGTAGCGCAACACCCTCTTAGCGGCATCCATGTGCTCCTTCCTGTGACGGCCAGGAGCGACATAGCGTGCAAGGATACTAAGAGGGTATGCAAGGTCAGGTCGAGTGAAGGTCATCAGGTACATGAGGCAGCCCACAAGCTCTGGATACGGGCCACTCGGCTCTACGGACTCATCCGAAGGCAGAGCTGAGAGCGAGTGACCGGTAGGCAGAGGAGTGGACTGAGGCGAGGAGTACGTGAAGCGGAAGCGCTGGAGAACCTGCTGCACCATGTGTGACTGAGTCAGGGTGATGGTGCGCCGTGCTCTGTCCCGGGTGATCCGCAAGCCAAGAT